GAACTTTTTTCTTTTTCACTTGTTATTATTATTATTCGGATCAAACTTGCTTGTTTCGAATTATTCGAAACCAAAAATTTTCGACCAATTCCACAATTGGCCTAACACTTGTTTTGGTCGGTCGCACGCTTCCAAAACTACAACATTGTTTGTGCGTGAAGAAATACAATTAAAGTTTGACTTACAGACTGGCTGACTGACTGTCATACCGTCTGTCCGTCAGAGTGTGTTCGTCTATTGTCACAAAAAGATTGAAATGCGAGGGTGGTTGCTTGCGTATGGGTATGGGCGTTTATTTGTGTGGGTGTGGGTTTGACACGGAGCGCTGGCTGTTTACAAATGAGAGTCGTTTTATCTTCTGTAACAATAACACTTTGTATTAGACATGCGCCCAACTTAAGTGAGAGTGGTCTTCTTTTGTTGTGTCTTTTCCAAAAAAACATTCAAATATTTACCTCGCACACCAAGTGAGAGTATTCTCACATGGGTGTAATGTACCCAAGTAACAACAACTTGTCCGTCTGTCTCTCTGTCTATCCGGGTACACAGATACTTCTTTTTATTCTTCGCTGTGAAGTCGAAATTGTAAATAATATGACTGGGCTGCAGTCGTGTGATAATAACATCACCGAAAACAAATTACAACGTTCTGGTGTTTATGTTGGTATTGATGTTGTCACTGCTGCTTGTTGTCTTATTTTTGTTTACATGTTTGTCTTATTCCGCCATCCGTTCATCCGCCTTGTGTTGTTATTTGTTTGCTGCCTTGTTTGTTAATTTTCCAGCGGAAAATGTTCTCAATTTGTATCGGATATACTCTGAATGGCTGAGCGGTCTGGCTGGCTGATGACCGACTGACTGAACGTAATGAGCAGCAAATCTCCTTTAGAAAAATGAAACAAAGCCAAACAAACATCTGGAGAAATTTAATTAGATAATAACCATAAAATTTGGTATGGAATCGACAACAACAACAGCAACAAAAATAAACTTGATTATGGACGATTTGACATTTTCACCAAACCGCCAAGTGGTGCTATTATTTTATGGCATGCAATGAAGTGGAATGCTTTGTCTAAATTGGTTTTCTTCAATTTCAGGGGAAAAAAGATGGCAAACACAACTGGACAATTTTATAATTATTATATGTAATCGAGTGATATAAGAATAATTTACGAAATAATATCGTTAGAAACTTATTTTATAATTTTATTCAAAACTGAAATATATTTACGAAACGGGGAACCGGAAATGTTAAATTATACTCAATCAATTGAAAATATTAAGCAATACCTTCAAAACTTAACAGGTACAGGCGCTTCGATCTGCCGGGCGCATATTTAATATTTGTACTATTACTGTTTATAGCCATGCCGTTACATTGAATGTTACCAATATTCGAACTATGTACAAAATATAGACTTTCTGCTAAAGGGATTAAATATCGTGGACCGATATAGCCCATCTTCGAACTTGACTTGCCCGCAGACAAAAGACAGATCTGTGCAAAATTGTAGCTTCCTATCTTAATTCGTGATTATAACAGACGGACAAGGCTTAATCGTCTTACAATTTCACGCTGATCAAGAATATTTTGTTGTTGCAAAATGGTCAGTCTTAATCCCTTTATTGTTGTTTTTATAAAAACAACGTTTGGTTATTAGTGGAGAACGATTGTAATGTTTACCAGGGGGTAAAGCAGGGAATACATAGGTTTCGGAAATATATATACTTTGTTGGGTCTAAAATTATTATTTCGATGAGTTACAAACGGAATAACGAACTCAATATACTTTCCATACTATGCACAGGGTGAGATAAAAAACTACAACAAAGCCAAACACCATAATTTTTATATATATTTTTAAATTTTATTGAATGAAAGCAATACATGTCGGAAATAGCATCAAATTTTAGAATAAGTTTAGATTTGTTCGAATTTATCACCTTTGGCACGAAATATGGCCTTTAACGACCAATGAAACCGTCACACGTCGCCCGTGCCGGCGAAGCGCTTGCTTGAAGTGATCGACACTTTGGTGTTTTTTAGTGCCAACCTTGCTCTCCAAAATACTCCAAACACAATAGTCCAACGGATTGGTATCCAGAGATTTTGGTGGTCATTGTGCGCTGGAAATGAAATGGCCAACCGAAGGTGTACATTTTCAGCTGACCTCTTTGGCAAGTAAACACGATCATTTTGTTTGTTTACAAACTGCTGGACAACGAATGTTTTCTCATAGGAGAGAGAGAAAACCAAATTCGGCAGTTAACCACTTTCGGCCAAGCGGAGCAACTCTTAAGCTCGTTTGAGTCTATTTCCTTTCGGGGAAAGTTCTTGCTCTTTTTGGAATTTCAATGTATTTTTGCAATGTCTCATTTTGCAACATTTCCGAATGGAATATTGCGATATGTTCAGCTCTCGGGTAATTTTTCGGCCACTGCGCCGCGGATTTCGATCAAGTCGTTTCTTTACTTTTCGAACCATTTCTGCAGATGATGCTGTTTTCTTCCGTCCACTTCCTTGACGTCGGGCTACCTTACCAGTATAACGGTAACGAGCGATGGTACGAGACGCAAAAGATTTATTCACATTTAAATGCTGGAGTGCTCTAACGATGGCCACTTGTGGTTTTCCAGCCTAATGTAAAGAAATCACACTATCGCACTTGAATTCCATCAATATTGGTTTTTTTCTGGAAAATTCTAACCAAAATGCTTTTGTACGCTTGTAAATAATATAATGAGCTGTCACTGGAATAATTTTAACAGCTGTCGGACGAGTGACTTATAAATCACAGCAGTCTGAAGTTGGTTGCAGTTTTTTCATCTCATCCTGTATATCCAACTCTGAATCGATTTTCAACGAATTTGACGAAGGGTTTTGTATCCCTAGTACCAAATAGCATTGTTGCAATCGTAAAATCGAATGAAGATGCATATCGAAGCTTTATAAAAATCTGAACCGGTTTCGATATTATTTGACAGAGGTATTTTAACACCAAATAGGATGCAACATACATATGGGAGCTATAGCTATGTCTGAACCGATTTCCACCAAATTTGAATACTTATTTCTAGGATGAATTCAATTGAAATTGCTGAGATTCAGTTATTTGGACTAATATTAGCCATTTGGTGTACAATAAACTTGATGTAGGATAATGATATATGAGAGCTATATCCTATTCAGATCCGATTTTGACAACATTGTGAGCACTTATTTCTGAGCTGGTACCAAATATCATTATTACGCATGTGAGGGACTTAAAACCCCAAATCGCATGAAACATATATATGTGAGATAAAGCTATATATATAGCTATAGCTATATATTCTCCAAATTTGATGTACTTGCTTCTAGGCAGAATTCGTTCGGATATGCTAAAATTTAGGTAATTTAGACTGATATTGGCCATTTGGTGCACAATTAACCCGAGGCGTTTGAAGATATATATGGGAGCTTTATCTAAATTTGAACTGATTCTCACCCTTTTCATTCAGATTCGTTCTTGGGCTAAACAAATATTGTTTGGAAAATGTCATCTCAATCGGATAATAATCTGCATTTTGTTCTGAAGAATACATCGACAGACGGATTGATATGCATACATCGAATCAGAAAGTGATTCTATGAAGATCCTCAAAAGTAAATCTCGGTTCCTTCTTCATGTTACAAACAAATGCACAATAACATAATACCCTTACCACTATATGTAGGGTATAAACACTTGATGTGTATTAAATCAAAAGAATGAACATGCATCCAAATTATTTGTTGTTATTAATATTCCCAGATACGATTTACATTTTTGTTCAATGACTTTTTTAAAAATTTTAAAGTTTATTCGAGTTTGTAGCATTTTGAAGAAAATTTCAAACCTGCGAATCTAGCTTAACTTTTAAAATCTTAACTTTCCAATCTCTTTAATATTTTGTTAAACATTTGGTCATTGAAATTTTCAATTTAATTCTGAATAACAATAGGGACGAAAGATTTAATATATTACCCTTTCATTCCCATCATTAAACATCACCACCCCGTTCTTAAAACTTCTCGCGCGACCCACGTACGTTAAGTACAATTTCCTTTTGATGATGACACTTCTGACAGCATGCAATCTACTCTTTGGCACGCATTTTCTTTCAGTTATTTTGACTATTACACACACTCTCTCTCGCTCTCCGACACAAATCACACCCCCAATTTTCGCCCCAACAAAAGCAACAAAATTACGACAATAACTTTCTCTCATTTCTTGCTCTTCTCCCATCGTTGTAATTGAAATGCGAGCAAATTGTGCGGAGAAGAAAGAAAGAAAAATATGCAGGCATTTTTCTCATAGCTATGCCAGCCGTAAAAGTCAGGCAGGGAAATTAGTTTGAATTGGAAAGACGAAAAATGAGCACCGACGTTTTGAAGAAGCAGCAGATATAGGCACTTGTCTGTTCAAACGCGTTTGTTTGCTATTGTCAATGGCAAATGAAGAAAAATTTCCAAAAGTGATTAACATTTTGTTGTTTGTTTGATAAAGTTTACAAGAAAACAAAAAATGTTGGGCCGGGATTGAAAACCTTTTGTCAATTTTGAATATGGAATTGAAATATTGCAAGTTGACAGTGTCTGCTGCTACCACCACTTCAGCTATTGGATAGAAATGAGCAGAGCGTAAAGTGTCTTTGTCCTGCTTGGTTGTATGTCTGTCTGTCTAACTGCTGTCTCACTTGATTATTAGTTGGGTTAGCTGCCGTCAATTTGCCTGGGTGCTCTTCTTCTACTCCAAGTGCCAGCTACTCTTCTATGCGCTGCCTGAGCATTGCGGAGCGGAGTTGACAAACCTCAGTCAGTAGCCTTTAGAATTTCAAATAGAATTGCAAACCCGCAGATACAAAACACAACTCAAAACTATCACACAACCCAAAATAGAGAAAGAAGTGTTGATTGGAAATTTATCTTAAAAATAATTTAAAAAATTGTGGAAAAGAAAATTAAAAAAAAAAAAAATCAAACAACAATAAGCGCTGGAATATGTTAAATGGAATAAAGCTGAAATAAAAAAATCTCCGGCCGAAAAAAGAATTACAAATGAAAAGGTAAAGAAAGCCCAGAGAAGTTTTGCAGGAGAATTCTCCTACTTCATTTCATTTCTCCTAGGAGAAGAAGAAAATTTTCCCATTTTATATGTATTTGTGTGTGTGTGTGTCTGTGTGCAAAGCTTGTGAAGTGAAAAGTGAAAAGCCCAAACGAAACGGAATGAATAAAGCAATCCCCAAACGGGGTACACGCCTTTTAAGGTGCATACACAAACGAAATCGTCGTCCCGAAAAAGTGTTAGAACGTTTGCAGAATTCCAACGGTGCGTACATCGACTGCTACTTTTCCGCGCTCGTATATGGAAATATGGCAAAAACAATAATAGAAATTTATTGGCAATAATCAAACAAACAAAAAATGGTTAATAAATATTAATTCAATTCGCCAAATAGATACGTCAAGTGAGTGTTCGGGCAAATGATTCATTTCGCCTAACGGTTAGTAGTGATGGTATTATTCGCTAAAAAAAATTGATTGTATATAGAAAAAGTGTATGTAGAATACAACGTTTGGGCTTATACCATAAATGAGAAAAAAAGAAATCATGTTAACAGTTGCCCAAAAAAAATATTCAAGAAAAATTGAAAAAATAAATATTTGAAAAAAATTAGTGGGGAGAAAGAATACAACACCAATTGAACTAAGAAAAATTGTTCACAGAATTTGATTTCATCAAAGACACAATTCAGAAAACCCGTATGTATGTAAACAAAATTTAAATAGACTTTTTAAATTCTAGTCACGTTACATATATAAGCTTCTCCTCTCTATCTGTCATTGGATTCCGCATTTGCTATTATTACCATATTTTTTTAATTAATTTAAACTAAACGAAACTCAGTGATTCACAGAAAAATCCCAATTAGACGTTACAAATTCCCACAAACCAAAACCAAACGCAAACCATTGAAACCTCATTTACAGTTGGGTTTTGTTTGTTCGGTCGTAAAACAGCGAACTACGGAACACACCTCTCAAATTAAAGATGTTGAGTAAATATTATAAAAAAATGCTATGAGAGTATTTTTGTTGTTGTTTTTTTTTTTGTTTCGACTCATAAATATGTCTACATTAAGATGTTTATAAACAAACATACGTATCTACCTGTCTGCCACCTTCTAGCCAGGTATGGGATACTAAATTAAACAAAAAAGGGAAGGAAAAATATATAATTGCTGACAACATGAGACCTAAATAATTATCTGCTCAATCTCAATTGGGGCTAAAGATAAATAAAATAAAAAGGAATGGGATTAAAATCCCCATTTTTTATAGTATTCTATTTGATTTATAATAAAAGGAATGCGATTGGCTTCAGAACTTCCAACAGATTGTATCACAAGCATAAAGGTACATTTTGGTATATCGTAGATTCAACGATTATGATTCTAAAATTTGTAATATATCGAAACATGGTTCAACGGCCTCAGATGTATGGGAAGGTGTGACAAAAAATTCTCTAAAACAATCGATCTGATTTTTTTTAGAGAATCTTCGTAATGCCTAAAGTATAATGTTATCAAAAATTAATTGTGAAGATTGGTCCAGGTTTAAGCATAGTGCCCCATATAACGGTACCCTCCGATGAAGAACATCTGAAGATTTTGGTTTTTCTTTTATACCCTACACCACATTATGAATTTGTTATTCCGTTTGTAACACCTCGAAACATACATTTTAGGCGTTACAAAGGATATATATTCTTTATCAGCATAGAATTCTATGTTGATTTAACGAACGAATTGAAGTAGGTTAATAAAATTTTACTCAGATGTGTGTTTGTTCTACAGGAATTTTGGTATTGAAAATAAGCTATATAGGTCCACATTCCTGTGTAGCCCCATATAACGTTACCTCCCTATATTCGGTATTTTGATGATTTTAGCGACATTAAACACTGCAATTGTTTCAAATTTCGTATTTGAAGTTCCTAACGGGTACTACAGCCTGTGACAGAAAATTGCCTTGCAGGTCCAAGACTTCGTATAGCCAGGACTTCGTTTAACAGTTTTTCCATATATTCGGTATTTTGCTGATTTCTGTAACATTAGTTACCAGAATGGTTTCAAATTTCATATTTGCTTCTCGTAATAGGTCTGTAATCGGTGACAGAAAATTGACTCGTATAGCCCCATATAACGGTACCTCCATATATTCAGTATTTTGAAGATATTAACTATATTATCCACCGGAATTGTTCAGATTTCGTATTTGCAGTTTGTAATGGGTACTACAGTCTGTGACAGAAAATTGTCTAAGCAGGTCCAAGTTCTCGCATGGCCCCCATATAAGAATTCTTCCCCATATTCGGTATTATGATGATTTTTGCCACATTGTTCGCCGGAATTCCAAATTCCTTCCAATTGGTGGAGGATATTCAAAGTTCGGCCCGACAGAGCCTACTATTTATACCCTAGGTGGTCAGGGTATTATGTTTTTGTGCATTTGTTTGTAACAGGCAAAAGGAAACGAGGTAGACCCATAGTTCCTTTTGATGATCTGCATAGAATCACATTCTGAGTCGATTTATGCATGTCCGTCCGTCCGTCTGTCCATGTATTTTTTTAAACAAAGTACAGTGCGCATTTATTGCCCTATCCAGATGATATTTTGCACAAATCATTTGTTTGGCCCAAGGACGAACCCTATTGAAATTGGAAATAATCGGTAAAAATTTAGATATATATTCTCGTCCGATTTGCCTTTTATTGTGCACCAAACGTGTAATATCACCCCAAATAGTACGGAATTTTGCACATACAAGCAAACTAGGCCTGAAAATAGTATGCCAAATTTGATCGAAATCGGTTCAGATATAGCTATAGCTCCCATATATATTGTTCATCCGATTTGTTATTTTTGTTCTCCGCAGCCGTAATATGCACTCTGTAACAACAATATTTGAGAAAATATATTAAATACAGCTCAGAAATACATTTGCTAAGTTTTATCGAGATCGGTTCAGATTTAAATATAGCTCCCATATATAACTTCGTCCGATTTACCTTTTATTGTGCACCAAACGTCTAATATTTGTCCAAATGGGATGGAATTTGGCACTTACTACCGAATTGAGTAAAGTGGTGTAAGGTATCATAAAGTCGGTCCCGCCCGACTTTAAGACTTTCTTTATGGTTTTTAGTTGTTTCTATTAAAATTACTGTAATTTGGCATTTTGTGTTCTTAGCCTGGTGTTACCAAATGTCTTTGCAAAAAAACTGTTTATATGGGTCCCGAATTTTATATAGCTCCCACAGAATCCTATGCCAGATATGAATACTGTTAAGCTTTTTCAACATAGCTCCCATCGAATCCTATCACCGATTTCCTTGTTTCTGAAAAGTTTTTACCATATTTTTCAATCAATTTTGCAGAATTTAACATTCATTTTTGGGATAGGGTAATGGATGTGATGTGCCAAAAATTGTCAACATTAGACATATTTGTGGTATAGTTCAGCCGATTTAAGGAATTTTCAAGATTTTGACAATATTTTTTACACGGTATGGTAAGTATGCCTCTTATATAAATACACCTCAACATTTGCGTATTTTCAAAATTAAATGATATTAAGAAACTGTAAAACTTTCTTTCGTAATCTTCACACCTTTTTTAGTATTTGAAAAACAAAGTTTGAGAGAGGAAAGAAATTGCCTAAGAAGTAGAACTTATTTTAATTTAACAGTATACTCCAAAAAATGGAATTCTAAGAGTTTAGTTTTACTGCAGCTAGAATTAAAAAAATATGAATATGTCACTGAGTGAAAAATATTGATAGTACCATTTACAATAACATTCAAACTGAAAATAATAGGTAAAACACTAATACTTTGTGTAATTGAATTTTTGAAGAATTCAACATTCTCTACCTTGGGTTTGAGGTAAATGCTTTAATGAGGTAAATTATTTCCTTTCAAAATTTCCAACATATCTGTGGAAGGTACCAGAAAGAGTGATCCGATATTGTCAATCACTGCGCACCATTGCAAAAATATTCATAGCAATATTCAAAGCAATACAAATCAAATACTTCCTTTCGATAGCTGTTAAATTGGAGCTGTTATGGGCCTATACCAAAACCACAAATTTTCTACAATTATAGTTGTTTGTGAGTTTCCTATTGTGCATTTTCGTTGAAAAATCTGGCAAAAATCATAAAAATACGAAATGTCAGGGTGTACTGTTATATGGGGAATGCAGAAAAGCCAGGATACATTTTTAACACTTTTGTTGAAAAATGTGTCTAAAATCATTGAAATACTGAATAAATGCATTTTTATGGGATCTATAGAAAAACATAGACCTATGTGGACAATGTTATACTGTAGATGGTAGATCCCGTCATGGTACAATAAAAAGGTTTGATGGGGCTACCAGCTGATTGCAATTTTGTTCCACGTATTCCTGACTTTTTCCAATTTTATGTACATATTTATTGTTTTGAAAAATGAAAAAAAAAAATTATTTTCAAAATCAATGATTGAAATTGCTGGGCGAGAACAAGTGATACTAACCAGATTTGCAATGGTATTGAAAGATTAAACACTTTGGATCATATTTTGAGAGAAAATCCAGACATATCATTAATCTTTCGCGCCATTTACTCATTTTAAAATTGAACAAAAAAATAGCAAAAAAATGAAAAAATATATGTGTATAAATAATAATTCAAAATGCTGCATTTGAATCAATTTCTTTAAAAATGTGACTCAAACGATCAAAGTACCCGGAGGCTATAGAAAAACGTTACCCTGTACAGACAATGTTCTGCCATCAAAGGTAGTCCCCACTGCAAGCTCTAGGTACCGAATTTTAGAATTTTATTGCCCTATCCAGATGATATTTTGCACAAATCATTTGTTTGGCCCAAGGACGAACCCTATTGAAATTGGAAATAATCGGTAAAAATTTAGATATATATTCTCGTCCGATTTGCCTTTTATTGTGCACCAAACGTGTAATATCACCCCAAATAGTACGGAATTTTGCACATACAAGC